TATAAAGTGCCTTCCATTCAAGGATCTCAAAGAGCTTTAAAAATATTATCGAAGCCTAAGAACCGTATGAGGTAGCATTTCAAAGGGGGGTACAGAGAGATGAGAAGTAATTTGAACAAGGTCGCCAAGCTGAGGGTAGAATCCAGAAGTCCAGACACTCTCCGTCTCTTGCTCTAACCACTCATCCCTCTACCTTCCTTGTTTGATGAAAACAAAGTCTATAAAAGTGAGGGCCCTTGATCCAGAGCGAGGTTACAACTACCATTATATGCATTAACAGATGTAACAAGCAAATTATTTTTGCCAAACAAAATTATCTGGACATAGAGCTTCTCTGATTTCTGTAACTAGAGCTGTCTGATTTAAATAAACAAAAGTCCCAGTGAGCCACAATACTTGTGTGTCGATTTTAAGAGCTTAGCACCTTGAGTCAAGATGTCTTTCAGGCTTATAAGGGTGCCCTAATTCCCACTGAAGTTAATGGGGGTTTTGCAGTGAAAACACACAGACTGTATAGTGAAGGGTGTTCCACCTGGAGCGACATACACTGTCTGAGGTCTTTGGGTGATACCGATGAGACTTCCCAGATATGGTCCAAATTGGCAAGGATGAGTGCTCTGTGCATGGTTCTCACACAGGGCTCTGATATTCTATTTGTACGAGAACAGCAAACAGTTCCTTGTTATTGAGGGAGGATGCTAAAAAGCCAGATGAAAGTGGGCTTTAATGCCTGGTCCTTGGGAATTTCTTGCCGTGCCACAGGAAGGGGGCTGAGGGAGAAGGGTTCCAAGGAAAAGTAAGAAAAAACAACCCTGGAAATTGGCATTTAAAGTTGGTTTTAGATTGTGTTCTTACATTATGTTTTCAGAAACACTGGAAATCAGGATCCCTTCCTAACTCCAAAGGAAAAGAAATATTTTCTCTATAACACCAAGAGGAGACTAATAAATAGAGATTATCTGTAGAGCACCATTATTCCCAAAGCGTTTTCCAAATGTAGGGCCCAATCCTAACTCAATGGCACTAGTCGCATGACTAAGGGTGTATCAGGCCCTTCAACTGATACAGACTATGTCTAGGAAAATCAACCTCTAAAAACTAAATTTGGTTAAAGCAGTGACTCCTGAGCTGTGACTTTATAAATCAAAATTTTACTGAGAGAGAGGGGGCAGTTTATGGCTCAGCTATAAACCCCCTTACAATAGTTCTTTGTAAGGGGAACACTAACAGCACCTCTCATAGAATTGAGTTAATCATTCACTTTTCAGTGAGAGCTACTAAAATTTTTGCAAACTGCCTTCTGATGTTAAACATTTGGGTATAAACTGATCTGATTTTTTTTTCATTTCCTGTAATAATGGTCATTGACATATAATATCTCTGTTTATAGCCAGCTTGATAGCTCTTGACAAATCTATATAGATCTATAACTATATCTTTGCTTAGTTAATTTCAAAGTTACACATTCAATGCATACTAACTAAGAAAACAGTTCACAGGAAAAATGAGAATTCCGCTGTACCGTGCCTTTGCTATTGTATGCTCAAATAAATTGGTTAGTCTCTACGGTGCCACAAGTACTCCTTTTTTTTGCGAATACAGACTAACACGGCTGCTACTCTGAAACCAGAAAATACACTGTCTTTATTTTAGCCACTCTTACTAGAAAACTGCTTTATTAGGCTTTCAACCAGAGAGCAAACTGAAAAAAAAAAATGGAGAAAGCATATTCAGTATAATAAACAGTCACTTTTTTTGGGAGATGCTATTCATACACAATATCTAAAGTGAAAAGCTTATTAGGAGACCAACTAATGTAAGAATCATAAAATATTAAAACTGCTGCCTTTTAACTTTGCTCCAAGCTGCCAACTGGTGACACAAAATAACCACAATTTAGCAGAAATAATTTGGTTTCAATTAGTGTTTCCTCTCAAATGCAGTACAAAAAAACCTGCATTGGGGTTTTGCACTGCACCTTGCAACTACAATAGTTCAATGAGTTACACTGAGCTACACAGAGTCCTATATCAGCCAAAAAGCTGGAAGATAATGTAGCACTTTCCATAGATTTTGGTTAATCTTTTAAAATCATTGAGGATTTTTAATTTGACCAATCTAAAGGAAAAAAAGCATGTCTCAAATGATAGAGTTAAACTAACGCTTCTTCCTCAAATGTATACAGAGTGATTTTGTGTGTGTGTGTGAGAGAGAGAGGGGGCATCCCCCCAGTTTTAAAACATGGTCTTTTAGGATATATTTTCCAAGTAAAAGTGAAGTGTTAAATTCTAAATAAAAAATATCTGCCAATACTGGCCTCTTCTAAAATATCTTGAGATGAAAAAGATAGCAAAAGCATATGCCTCCAAAAGGTTTGAATTTTATGATATAATTAGAACTATTGGATAGCAAAATCATTACATAATTATTCACTTGTTTAAAATACTAGTAAAGGGATCTGTGTTTTTAATGATGATCTGGTATCCTAATATAGAGTATCAGTTAGGGTATGTAACGTTATTGCTACTGCACAGACACTCAGGTTGTCAATATCTAAGTCTGAGTTAAAGCCACATGCAGGAACTAGAAGTGCTAAAACCAGTGTTTACAAATACATAGGGAAATGTCTTTGTTTAATTTCTAGTTATTAATTGTTAATTATTATTATTATTGTTTATGAGAATATAAACACAAAGAGTAGGCAATCTCCCTTTAGCGATTTCTGGTTTCGGTTATTTGTTCATCTTGAATTTTTATTGATTTTCCATGTACCTTTTTAAAAAAAGAATCCAAAACTTTTTTCGGACAGTTCTCTAACCTTGACTTAAATCTCTTTCACATCATCTCATTTTAATTGCCAATGTATTTTATCTTTTTAAAGTTTTTTTTTTTTTTTTAAAGGGAAAGAAGAGCCATATAAACCCAGATAACAAGGTTCTTGCTGTTCCCATAACTGGTACTGCTCAGCTCCCACCGTGTCCAATAGGGGGCGCTGAGATAACCTGCTCAGCGCCGCCTCACATCTGAGCCCAGCACCAGCCCCAGAAGAAGGGAGGACAGCTTGGAAGCTTAGCAGGGTCGAGTACAGATCTTTAGTCTTCATGGATAAAAAGAGATTAAAGGCTAAATTCTTTTTTTGTATCAATTTTAACCAACTACGAAAATGTAGAGCTTTTATCCTTTGATGTTTCCTAGAAAGAAACTGTTATATCAGTTGAGAAATTACATCGTTTCAGAGCCAACACACCCAGCCACAGAGTGGTAAAATAATTTAATTAAAAAGTAATAATATGAAGACTTGATCTTCTTTAGAGGCACTTAAAAGCTGGCACAAGCAGCCTCCCCTTCCTTTCTCCCCACTGTTTCAAATGTTTTCTGAATTGCCATTACATCTGATTAATTATTTTAAAAAATCAAATAACTCTTGATTATGGCTCTTATTCATGGTTAGTAAGTTTTGGGGTTTTTCTTCTTCTTCTCCCCCCACCCCGTCTTTCCTTTATATTATTCCTACAAATCTACTCTAAAGGGGCAAGGTATCATGGCAAAACCAAACCATTTTAAAATAATAAATTTACATCCATTTATGGTACCAAGCCTAAATAAAATTGTGACTGGTTCCCCACTACCAAAACTCTTCACCTGTATTTAAATAGCATGTCTTTAATTACGGCAGTTGGGGATGTATGAGGCTGAAATGAAATTAGCAGTCATTACCAGTCCTTTAACTCTGTGGTGCTTTTGATCAGCACTAAATTAGCTTTCCAGTCCTAACAAAGGCTCTATAGCAAGCACTGGGCTGTAAATAAGACAGCTCGACCTGCCCTCCACACCTTTTCTCTTGTCAATCACAGCTCTATCATTCAGCTCAAGATTAACCTTTATCTATCCAATTCTTTAAAAAAAAATAAAAAAATAAAAATCGCACAACTTTGCTAACAGCACCCAAAAAGAGCTTCTCGCGAAATGGTTTCATAATTAGCCAAAATGTCAAAATCTGCCAATTCCAAATCAATTTTATATGTATTAGGAGGCAGTAGAAGATTCAGGTAGTTACATTTATTTCTCTATCACTTCCTCTGAATGGCCACCCCTCATGTAGTGATCTGCTCACGGAGAATCCCCGTTTCTCTCCTGCCTTCCAAGAATTATTTTAGAGCGCCTGTTTTGGAGGACCGGGGATGGGGAGAAATCTGAGGCTTTTTGTAAAGGCGTGACTCTGCTGAAAATAATCAGTTTGCGCTTTGGGAAGGCTGCAAATCAGCAAGGGGGGAAAACAGCTGCCTTCCGGTAGGAGTCAGGTAGAGGCTAATCTTCACGTTACCATTAGGGGGCGCGAGAGAGCAGGTCCTAGCCTTATACCGCTGGCAGCTTGCCAACGAAGCTAGCCGCTTCATCATGCTATACCTATATATTCTCAGGTAATTCCCCCCACCCACGCCCGTGTATTCCCCTCCACCACACACAACACCCCTTCCGTGTAAGTGGCCCCAAATAGGAGCTATTTCCCGGAAACCAAATTAACAGGGCATCAAATGAAACAGCAAGATCTCTAAACCGGTTCCTTCCAGGTAAATGTACATTCTACAGTTTTGATCAAGTTCTAGCCCAGACCTCCTCTCTCCGTATCCTGCAAAGGGGTCATGCCAAATCAACCAGCATCGTTTTAAACACCCAATAGGTGGAAAGCTGACGATCACCTCTCTTTGCTCAAAGCTGAATAGGTCACAGAACCATTTGCGCCACATGGGGAGGAGAGGGGGAAGCTTTTGCAAGGCAACTAGTCCTGCCTAGCATTCAGGATGCAGCAAACTAATGCACAATTCACTTCACTTTAGCAAAACGCAGACGTCTACATGCCATTCCCAACATGTAATGTTTCATCCCCAGACTTGCCAGTTACACGATTGGTAAATGGAGGTACATTTCCAGATTTTTAAAGGTCTCAGGGAAGAGGGGAGGGGAACCGTGAATGTCAAAGTTCTCTTGCAACTACTTACATGTCCATGCCAGATCAGGGTGTTGTCTAGTAAGCAGTTTGATTGGCAGGATACAGCGAAAGTCCGCGTGGACTCTTGAGTTCTATTCAGCCCCGGGGGGTTGATCACTTTTCACCGGACACAGGCAGTTGAAGGAAGCTTTCACGTCCCCTTCTCTTCTCTTATCCTTCTCCATCCAGGACAGAGAACGAATCCATTTCGGTTTTTCTTCCCCCGGCTCTCCTTCCGTTTGCCTACACATCCTCCAAATCCTAGCCCTAGCTTTTAACTGCAGTCCCTGGAACAAGGGGGGAAAAATCGTTTATGGTTTAAAAAAAATCCAAATGGCTGATTTGTGTGTGTGTGTGTGTGTGTGTGCATTATAAGAAAGCACCCACAACAACAAAAAAGTCACTTCTCTGTCCTCCACCGTGAAGCAGAATAATAATAATAATAAAAAAGCTTTATATTTTTGCAGTGGGTATTCAAAGATAATTTGATGCCATTGTTTCTGCTACAGATGGTTCTTTTTAATACAATAACACTGCTCTTTGTGCGTACTACACACAATAAAAATCGAAAGCGTTCTCCTGAATAACCATTTTGTTCTCGCTTGTATAGGGCCAACAAAAGCTACCGTGAGGTAATGGGTTCTGTTTATTGAAGCCATAGAATAGGGGTCTGATAAAGATTTTTTTTTATATAGGAGGGGAAAAAATAAAGCCCTCGCAAGGTCGAACTGATCTCTTCATGTTTTTATTATTATTATTAACGTTTTCACCAGTAGATTTATTTCAATTGCAGCTGCAGGGGTTTCCCCCTCGAGTACTAATCAGCCCAAACATCTGTTTATTTTCATTTGGGGAGATCTGCAGTTGTATCCAAAGCTAAACATCTAGAGTTTACGAGGGAGTGGGGCAAAACAGCACACAGGCGAAGGCATGGCAAATGAGTGACGGAGAAACCAGGCTAAGGAGAACCTATATCTAATCTTATCTGTCTATCTGTGTGTGTGTGTGTGTTTTGTTTTTCAATCTGCTGTCCACACACACAAAGGCATAAACTGATCCTAACGGTCATCAGGATTAGCATAAAGTATTTTCAATCATGTTAATAGGCAGGCATGTATCTATACCCCCACACAAGCACGGTACAGATCCCCCACTAGTCTGATTAAAACATGACGCATTCCCCATCAAAGTTCCTACCTCCTCTTTAATTGTTTCTGTAAATAAGGATATTTAACTAGTCCTTTCTCCGGCGCCTTAGGTTTACCCCGAAGTGTATCTCAACCACCAGAAATAGAAAGTTAAAATGTATCTAGGATGCTCTGAGATCTACCAGAGTTCGTTTCAATTGCTAACTTCTGCTTAGAAATGAATACATTAGCAACCCTAAAAATGATATTAGAGGGAAACACTAGGAGGCAGCTTTTTATTTGCTTGTGAGTTGTTTCATAGGTCACGAATTCTGCATCCTGAAATCGCCCTCGTTCACCTCATTTTTGGATTTGGTTACGGCTGAGGTCTGTATCAAGTGCAAGAAAGCCCCAAAGCAAAAGAAAGTGCTTAGACAATAGGTCTCTGCGGGAAAGTTGTTAGTCAGGGCCTGTGTTTGTCTACCTTTCTATAGGAATTAATGCCACAGCTCTCTGTGCCTCTGTAGCCCGGACTGACAGTAATCCACCTCTGTGACTTCTGCCCTTTGTGTTTTCATAAAACTGGGCTCACTTGTAGCAAGACAACAGCCCAGAATAATGACTTTAACCTTCAAACGTTCTTTAATTAGCTTTTTCAGCAAAATAAAAGATGCTCAAATGAGCCCTTTGACAAAAATGACCTGCGCCTTCAAACTCCACTTTCCCTCTTGGAACTAAAACGTTATTGGTTTAGAACTCATCTGAAGTCACCTAATAAGGATTATTTGCGAACCGTTACTGACACGCCAATTAAAACTTTCCCGATGGAATGATGGAAACACAGATAAGCATCAAAACGGAAAATTAAACTACAGTATTTGCACATGGCTTGTTTTGCACCAATCAGTTTTATACCTCAGGATAAACATCTTAGCACCAGCTTGCTCAGAACCAAAGGGGGAAGACGGAGGGGACCAGTTGAAAACTGGTTTGATCAGTGCAAACTCCTAATGAGAAACGTGAAATGTTGCCCCAATATTTACAAAGATTACTACCATATAATCGTGACTTCAATAGATCAACAGTTTTAAACAGAAATATAGACACACATCTATATTTCTATATTATACAGATTCTCAGAGGGTCTGCATTCCGAATGCGATATGGACAGCTTTTATTTTACAAGCTTAATACCGACGAGTTCATTTGCACATAGCTTCGATCCGTTCACTTGCAGTTGCATTTCGCTGAGTCTTATGTAATTTTGCAATAGTATTTAAATACTACAAGAAAAAATAATAAGTGAACACAACTCTAAAATGCACGAGGCTTAGGAAATCGTGTAAATACTTCACTGAACTGTAAAATTCAGGAAGTAATTGAGAAACGTTATTTTATTACTCAGGCCAGTGAAGGAAGTAGCCTACTGGCAAATATGGCATTTTTTCTATCTACAATGGGCCTTTTGGTTAACTCTGAATCAGACTCTGAAAGCCTGATTAGCTTATCGAGGAAACATGATTCACTCAGACAAAACCTCCTGGTGACTCAGATAGCCAACGTCGTGGTGAGATACTGTGTACAAATCTTGGTAGGGGTTTACAAGAAAAATTAAAAAGGCACTCCAAATAATTATGACAAAGAGATCACCAGAAACGTAGGCGGGAAATATGAAAGCATCTCTTTAGCCATAAGCACTCATTTGGTTTAAATCTCAATTTGTACATAACCAGAACTGAAACCATTAGTTTGTAGGGACAGGGTTGCCGCAATTGATAGATATGTACCAATATATAATACTTTCTGGAGAAGAGAAGAACCACAAATTGGATTGGCTTCTAGAAAACAGGTCTCTACATGTATTTTCATTCCATCCAGCTCAGGTTTCTGGCTCAGACACATACTGGAAGCATTCACTGTAAACTAAAGTTTATTTCCCGTCCTCTGTAGTGTTACTAAATAATTTACCAAAGTTTGGCTTTTACAGCGCACGCTTAGCTCGCAATAACCCCGCGAATCCAGGAACGGAGATAAGACAACAGATCACTTCAAGGCTGCGTATAAACGTTACACGTGCAAGCCCAAAAGAAACGAAACATCTGTTTCATATTTGTGCTCTTTTCCTTGCTTGAATAGCCGTGAATGAAGAGTATCTGCCCAATACCGCTAATATGTGCCAAGGGAGTGAATAGATCCGCGGGGGGTTTACCTGGAGTGAAAATACTGATCTCTAAATTAAAGAATGGAGGAATGTGTTTCTGTAACTAGTTCCTTGCAAAGTCGTGGGGGTTTTGCACGGCTATCATGTTTTTGCTTGTTTGTTTGTTTTTGGTAGTCCTTTTTCCGTAGTTTAATCGAACTCATATCCACAGGCAAGACTGTTGTATAAAATCTAGTCCCCCAGCTAATCTTCCCAAGGGAATTAAGTTGAACGTTTAACGGGACAAACAGGTCATTCTTTTTAAAATGTGGATCGGTGACAAAGGGGTTGAAGTTTAATACCAGCGGATTTCTCTTTTAATCGCAATGTGCACATTTGTTCTCCACCATCCTGAAAATTACACACTGCAACCAAATGCAGATTTCCAGTAGTGCGGTTTGAAATGCCGCTTTTTTGACTCGTTATGTGCAACGCAGGTGGCCGCAAAAATAGCCGTAGGGCACCAATAGTGCAAGGAATTTGGGGTACGGTGGACGGATCTCCCTGCCTGGATTTCCGAATCAAGAGTTTTCCAGGAGCCTGCATTCAAAAGCAAATCAGCATGCTGCAGAAGGGTGCCCCAGGTTTTAGTTTTAAAACTTCACACAACATCCCAGAGGGAGACTGCCGAATTAATAAGGTACAACTTTAGGGCGAGACATAAGAAGCCAACCTTCCCGAGTCCTCCCTCAACTTTCTAAGCACAACGAGGTCCTCAACTCCTACAGTCATAGGACCATAATTTGGACAGGAAGTGTGTGTGTGTGTGTGAGAGGTTTGCTGCCAAACTAGGAGCTGTAAGAGCAGTTTGTGATCAGATAACATGATTAGTCTTAAAACCCAAGGCACCTAAGACTCTAGGCGTTTTGGAGCAGAAAAAAGGGAAGATAAATACTTGACGTCCAACCTAACTGTACTGGAAGCTGTTTTAAAATATGCCGGTGATAAATGCTAAGGGAAAAGCATGACCAAGGGCCAGATCCTGCCGCCTATATATACCCGAGTAATCGATAGGCAGGACAGGGGCTCATTGACTACTTCAGCGAGTAAAGATTACTCAGGTGAGTAAGGGCTACAAGATCGGATCTCCAAAGTATTAGTTGTTATAACCTGCACGTGTGTGCTGCAGTAGGATTCGGCATCAGAAATGGGGCGGTTATCACAGTTTCTAGGCATTTTTTCCCATGCTGAAGTTCACACTGTGTTTTAGAATGGTTTTGTGCAATATCCACCTTCGGTTGTGTGTTGGAGGGTGGCTTTCAAAATACAGTCATTAGCGTGATTATATTTCCTTCACTTTCACAGGAGACCGAGAGATTAAAAGTACTTTTAATTGTATAACCTAAACCTATAACTCCACAAACTGCAGCCGAGTGCCTTAATGCTACTTTCCCATTCATTTCTTTAGGTGCTTAGCGAGACATTTTTTTTCATAGATGGAAAATGGGCCCCAAATGATCACTTAGTTCACTTGTCATGAAAGTAGCGCACAGGTTTCCAAAGAACCAGTCTCTCTCTCTCTCTCTCTCTGTGTGTGTGAAAAGCCACAATCCTTGGCAAGGTCATAAAAGCCCCCCACAATCCTACAGTGTTAAAATAATATTTGTGAAATACCGAGAGCGCCCTTTTGTCCCATAATATGATGGCAAAAATTTCCAACAAATTAAAGGTAAAGCACGTAAAAGCAGCTTTTGTAGGGCTGTCGGTTTGAAGACACAGACATGTCTTTCTCCGTGTAGAAATGCATGGCACAATTTTAGAACGGTTGCCCGAAATAAAGCCAAGTGCAGAGTTTTTAAAGGGTTCGGTTTTCCCCCTGATTGCTAGGACATACCTGAGACGTCTCATTCTTTTATTACCACAACATATTCTTCGCTATAAAAAGTCTTGCCACCAGTTGCTATGGTTAGCTATAGGGTCAAATGTACCATTAAAGAAATGTAACCACTGACTGCAGCAA